TTTGCGACAGTATGTGTGTGTGTTCATGCACTGGGATGAACTGTCATCCTGTCCCAGGGGGACCCTGCCTTGCTCATGAACTCACTGACCCTGTGTTGCTACTGAAAGAGGATGGATGTACTTTGTCTCCCCCATGTGATTGGAGCTTGTAAATTCAGTGACGTTTGCTGTTCCTTTTCTGTAAATATGCATTTTAAACTAGTGAACAAATGCAATGCAAAACAAATGCATATATCTACGTTTTTCAAAAAGCCGCCTTTAGATGACCAGACCAGTCCAGAAATAAATAAGACGCATGAGATGCTACAGGCATCTTGGGTTTTAGGGAGAACAGCCTGGCTTCCCGAATACAAGCGTTTCTGTAACGCAAGAGCACGCGTTTGCTTGTAGCAGCTCGATACATGCTCGACCTGTAGGAGTTAAGCACGGTGAGGTTCTAAAATTTCTCCTGTAAACAAATGACAAGTTCTGGTATGTATGAATAATATTGAAGGATAGATGCGAGTGTGCATTTTACAGGTAACTATACAGGTCACCTCTAAATGCCTTGTAGTATTTATGTGAACGACGTTTACAGAGCTAAAATTCCCACAAGAACTTCCAAATTAGGTGTCTTTTGGCATCGAAAACAGAATACTACTTTCGTGGGTTTCATACAAGTTTAAAAGCTTCATGAAGTATCAAACAAGATCTTCAGAACTTAATATTTTAATACCTTCGCAGTTTTTATTCTTAAGGCGCCTCACAGGATATGACCCTTGGGGCGATGCATGTACTCCAGCCTCTGAAATCCAGAAGAACGTGTACGCACGTATGGTATGTTATGCTGAAGTCCACTGAATATTTAAAGGCAAGGTAAAGGTTTCGTGAGGTTGCGCCCCCCTACAGACCGCACAAACGATGAAACCCACCTCATTCGTTAGTGCTGCGTGTGTGCTGCTTTCGTTACCGCGATATAACGCTTTGTTTTTCTGGTGATCACGTGACCATGCACGGTGACTTTGACCTCCAGTGACCCCGTCTGCCGAGTTCAAGCGCTCTGATAGTTTAGCGCTTCGATATCAATGTCCATAAACATATGAGCCTCCTTAGATGTGAATAATACTAAGACATGACGCATGCCAACAAGTTAACCATCTATGACAAACCCGTGGTTAGAATGCATGTAAAATCACCGTGATTGTAAGATCTATGGGTTTTATTTTCTAAGGCACATGACATGCTGTTGTCCAACGCGTAACTGTGGGATACCATCGCGATAAGACCTCCGCTGCATATCATGATAGGGACCCCATGTGTTTCGCGGCAGTGTATATCACGACTGACGAATTGCTTCCATGCCAGCCTGGCACTGCGGTCGCAACAAAGTTCTCATATCAGGGCAAGATATACCCGGCTAGGACATGTCGCGATATATGTGACATGGGGGTGGAGCATTTTGTCAGAGTATGTCATATCGCAATATAGGGGCTTCATGGCGCGACA